CATGGGAGGTTACTCGAAGGTTCCGATCTCTGAGTATCAGGCGGATAAGGCCAAAACCCAGAAAAAGTCTCCCTCCAGCAACCTTAATGAAGGGGCAATCAACCCATGAAAGCAAATATATACTTCGAGTGGACGTATCGCGTCTGCCCAGAAGTCAAGGCAATACAAACATCGTGATGGTCTAAGACCTAAAGACATCAAGACAAGCTGGCACATGTACTTGAAAACGAAGAGTAACCAATGAGAGAAACGGGGTTGGGAGTGTAACGAGGGTGGTTCGGAGATGCATGTGCATCCCCTACCCTCGTTTGAATTAGTATAGTAGATGATTACAAGGGCAGAGGTGGGGGCTGCAAGGGGCAAGTTATCTATTCAAAAGAAAAAAAATTCAAGTTTTACAAAGGGAAAGCATTATGGGCGGGAGAGCTGATTATGGACAATGAGTGTAAAACAGCTATAGTCTTAAAGTTTGAACTTAGTATAAGTCCCAATATACTCTTATTTTAGAAAGTGGATAGACTCCACCGTAAGACGGAAATTTAAAGAAAAAGATAAATTAAATAAATTAAAATGGTGGAATAAGGGAGCATCCATAGAGATGTCAAGAGGATTGATTTTTTTTTTGTTTTAAGAGTCACATCTAGAACACCCTCAATCGGAAATTTTCTGAATGGACAGGGTTACTCGACCTGAAGGTATTTCTAAATAGCCCTCATCTGCAAAGTTATGCTTGCTCCCTTACCGGGTGATAGATGGCCGATGTCGCCCGTTCGAGTTGCCAGCCGCGTACCGTGATGTAGCGATGAGCAGGGAGTTAATAAGACAACATAAGATTTCTCACTGATTGAAAGGAAAAACTGATCTGTTAGTCTTATATGTAGAAGTGGCAGAAGTTGTCCCCAAAGTATCACCACCCACCCACCCACCCACCCACCCACCCACCCACCCACCCATATACACACCCACCCACCTACCCACATACCCACATACACATATACCCCACCCACCTAACATACATACCTACCCACCCACCTACCCACCTACATACATACACACCCACCCACCTACCCACCCACCCACCCCACCCACACACACACACACACCCACCCATCTATCCACACACCACATACACACACCCACCACCCACCCACATACACCCCACACACATACACACCCACCCACCCACCAACACACATACCTACACACATACCTGCACACACACACACATCCACCCACTTACCCCACCCACCCACACACACACACATACATATATACCCACCCCACCCACCCACCCACCCACCCACCTACCTACACACACACACACACACACCCCTGCACACACACATACACCCCCCACCCACCCACCCCCCACCCACCCACCCACCCACCCACCCACATACCCACCTACCCACCCCACATACACACACATACACACACCCACATACCCACCTACATACATACATCCATACCCACCCACACATACATACATACATACATGCACACACATACACACATACATACATATACCCACCCACATACACACACACCCACCCACCCACATACACACATGCCCACACACCCACACCCACATACCCACCCACCCACCACCCACATATATACATACATATATACCTACCTACCTACCTACATACATGCCTACATACCTACTACCTACATACATACCTACCTACCTACCTAGCTACCCAGACTGTGCAAAAGAAGCCCTGAAATAAACAGCGAAATATATTGAAAGCAGAGTTCGAGTTTATTATGGTATTTATTCTCAACTTTTGTTCCCTTGTGGGCGTGAAGCAAGCTTTTCCCAACCTTGCACACCGACGCGAACGAGAATAGAGACGCAATCCAGGTTTCATTGTCCAGTCAGTGGAAAAAAAAACGATAGAAGCCCCTGTTCTATGTTTACATAGAGACGGACATAAAATGACCTGGTGTTAAATATTTGATACTTCTATCTAAATTTGATCGAAGGCTAAAAAAATGGATTTCAAATTTTGATTTCCTGCTCAGAGTTACTGGGTCATCATCACTTGAAGGATTGGCGTAACATAATCTTCCCATTCTCATTCCATTTACCCGATCTGTGCCTTAAGGATAGAAGGACGACAGCAATGTGGATGAAAAAGCAAAACCTTCATCTTATACGCTTTAAAGAAAACAATCCTTCTTAAGGTCTTAAGGAATGGCGCTACATAATCTTACTTTACCAAATAACAAAAGTCATATGACTTGACCACTCCCAGCTGCAACAACTTAAATGGACGGCACATGTAACCAGATGGAAAAATAATGATATAATCAAGGTGTTGGCATTCTACACCACTTTAAACAAAAGGTTTGGAAGGAAAGTCCCATTGCTAGAAAGAGCAATAACAGTTGACTTCAGACATTTAATTTCCTGAAAAACTGTTTCCAAAAAATGATTCTATAAAGTTCAATCACCGGTGATAGTAACTTTTCGGTTAATGAATTTCTACAGTTTTCTGTATGGAAACGGCTGCTCTCACCATTACAATTAATCTCTTCTTCGGATTTTTAGAGACTTCGTTTTCCTTTTGGTCATTCGCTTCATTCTTTTCTTTGTAGTCAAACATTAAGTTTATTTTCAGTAGACGCTAAACTGTACTCCATGCCTTCAAGCCATTTATTTATTTTTATAGACAAAACAAGAAGCCAGATCTATTGACTGAGATAATCACGCTCTCTGTTGAGTGGCAGCTGCGCTACTGAGATGGTCAGAAGCAACAGCAGCAGCAGCAGCAGTAGTTCGGTATTTTCCGTTGTTTGTTTGGTAAAGATGGTTGTTTCTAATTTTTGGTATCGATTCTTTCGAATCAGGTCCAAGCATCGTTGCAAAAGTTGACTGAATGACTCAAATGGTTTCTCGCTCATCAATCCTTCCAAATCTCCCGATCAGAGGCCTTGCTGCCAGATGTAGTTGATCGTTATACCTAGGACGATTACCAAATAACAGAAACCACGTCAGCAGCAATAATTTCGTTATCATTTACTTTTTTTTTTTTTTTAATTTTCCAATGAAACATGTTAGTACTTCGTATGTCCATTCCATAAAGTCGTTCCTTGCAGATTTCCGATTGGATTTAAATCAGGAGAGTTTCCAGGCCAGTCTATAGTACTTTGATTTGCTCACTGGTAAGGCTTGCCAGTGTGTTTGTGCAGCGTTACAATTTTCGTACGCTTCCTTGGACTAATGTCCATCGCAGACAATGGCCGTATGACAACTAATCGACATTCGAGACAATAGTGTCTGGACGTGATAAAAATCTGATGCAATCGCGGATGGCGCAATATTTTTCAGGGCCAGACAAATTTCATCATACACCCCGAAAATCGATTCATATTACTGCACACTACTACAAATAACCATAATCTAAGGAAAAAAATAGAAATGGATTACACTCTGTCACTCCAGTGGATCTTAAACTGAACGTATGGTGAAAGAAAAGTAACTAAAGCGATTGTTTCAATTAATTTGCCCAAGGGTATATGTAGCTAGAAGGAAAAATAATGGCAATTTCTTGACATTCCACACAACTTCAAACCAAAGGCTAGGAAGGAAACCTCCATCGATACTGAAAAGAGCAATAACAGTTGATCTGAGAAACCTATTTTCGTAAAAAATTGTTTTAAAAGAAAGATTTTGTAAATTTTAACCGACAGTTATACTGGCTGCTCGGTTAATGAATGTTCAATGTTTCGATATAAGGAAACGGTAAATATTCCCATTGCCATCAGCAAGAGAGATGAGAACAGATACTACACTTTGATCCCAGCCTGATGGTCAGAATATGACGAAAAACGTAGCATAGCTGCACGATTAATGATTACCAAATGTTTACATATAAGGAATATGTTAATATTACCGTTACCATTAGAGATGTGAACAGCTACTACACTTTGATCCCAGTTCAATGGCCAGGGGGGTGAAGAAAAGCGGAAATTGAGTAACACTGGCTGCTTGGTCAGTGAATGCCGAGTGTTTCCATATAAGGAAACAGCTAATATTACTTTTACTTTTAGAGATGATGGGCACATAGCCGAGTGGTTAGAATGTCTGCATTCCAACCATGAGACCCGGGTTCGAATCTCACCATGATCGATTTGTCAGGTCTGGAGGGGTCGATCCCAGCGTGCGGCACCTTTGGAAAGTGCCTAAAATACCACACCACGGGTTGACCCAAGCTTTGTGAGTGAAATTAGGTAGATGGAACCCTTAGGGGTCGTCGATAGCTGTGCTAGCACGAACTCACAAGTCATCGTGGCCGAGGGCTTGAGCGTGCTGGCCTTGTTCAAAATATTGATCACGCTAAGTAACACACTCTCTCCCAGAAACAGTAAGTAATATCTGCTCAGCATGGTTGCAGTATAAACCACTGTTGTGTTGAATAAACACAAATGTGCCTGAGCAAGCTTCTGCAATAAGGATTGCCTAGCCGCCCGAGTAGATGGGTATCCTTGAATACGAGTGGCTAGTATATTAGAGATGAGAACAGATATTACACTTTGATCACAAACCGAGGGGTATATAGTGCAGACAAGTTTAACTAGAGTAGCACTAGCTTTGTGGTCAATGAATGTAAAATGTTTCCTTTTAAGGAGGCAGCTAATATTACCATTTATATTCGAGACGTGGAGAACAGATACTACACTTTGATCCCAGCCTGATGGCCAGTTAGTTGGATGGTTGATTTTGTTTAGCGGCCTATCAGCACCTCTATGAGTTATTTGATGACGAAATTTAAATATTTTCATTTTTTTTAGGGGGGGAGATAATAATGGTTTTAGTGATACAAGTCTTACTAATTAACCCATAGCTGGGGGAGAAGAGTTGGATTTACACCTTTCCTAAGGGCATTTGCGCGTAAGTGAATACAACGAACCTAAGAGGAATTGGAACTCGGCTCTCCGATTAAAAATTCCGAGCCATTATCCATTACACCACCCGCGCATCCAAGTTTATATATTCCCAGGCAGTCACTCATCTAGGTACTGACCAGGCTCGGCGTTGCTTAACTTTGATGACCGTACGGGAACCAATGTTTCAATGTGATATGGCCATAAGCCCCGATGGCTAGGGAGTGAATAAAATCCTTATTTCCTTTGTACAGGCTGCTCGGTCAATGAATGCCGAATCATCTGAAGATTTTTAAACCAGTGAGGACCGAAGCGATGCGATTTGTTTATTTTTGACTTTTTAAGCATTTATGTTAACTTTGTCCTTCTTGTGATCGCGACATGGTTAAAGTTAAAGACATGAATCTCTTAAACCATAACTTTTGTTGCTGCTACAACTCCTATTTAGGACATCTGCTCAACCAAACAAATGTCGTTTTGACTACAGATTCGGTTCAAATCAAATTTTCAGCTCTTCCAGTGGTAGTAAGCCGGCAGCTGCCTTCCTCATTACTCGGTTGGTGATGCTGACTGAATAGATCTTTAATGAATGGTGCTTCTATGTCAAATGTCACCACCTACTAAGGGTCAAGCAAAGTGCAGGGATTCAGGAATCTACGGAAGCCCAGTGTGTGTATAATCATTTAAAGTAACTTTACAAAGACTCAATATGGGAACAGGAAAGGCTGATGGTCACTCTCAGATGCTGAGTGTGTTTATATATGTGTGGGGTTTACACAGATACACACACAGACATTCCCTGACTTGACATCTATAAAAGTAACTCTAAACTGATACTTATAATTAACACTCAACACACGCCTACCCAATTTAAACAATTTAAACACCCTAGCTGTTACTATGGAAATTTTGATTTCAATTATTAAAACACGTAAATTTCAGAAATACGTTATTCCAAAAAAAAAATTTCGCTTGTAGGTGGAACAGATCTTACTTTAACTCAATTTAATTCAAATAATTATATTGATGTTTTCGGCTCTTGTTTTGAAACATGAGACCTCTTATGTCGCGAGTTGGAATCATATTTTTAAATAAATAATTATATTTATGCTCTACTTTTGTATCGAGCACTATTTTTAAAAAATAATAACTAAAATACTAAGGAACTTTGGATTATTTACCTAACCCGTTCCTTCCTATTTTCTATATATTTTCACATATTATATATATATATATATATATATATGTATGTGTGTGTGTGTGTGTGTATAACAATAAAAAACACACATATATATATGCATATATATATATATATATATATGCGCATGTGTGTGTGTGTGTGTGTGTGTGTTATTGCTATACGTTATTTATATAGAAACTAATATTTAAGTAAATTCTGTGTTTATAATAAACAGTATTAACAACATTTGCCGGCCTGAACGTCCAAGAAATTTCAGAGAAAATACGCGTCCTCCGAAAGAAATTAACCTGTATTCTATACGAAACTGTCATATAACCTGACGTGCTATACCAGTTTAGCTACGAAGGAAGCGTCTGGTTAGCAAGGTCGATTTTACTGTTTTTAAAGTACAAATTTCCCATGATTTCCCTCGAACGTCCATATCTACTCGAAACGTATCTTAACGTAAACAAATGACAGCACACACTACAAAATAGACTAAGCCCGATAATTATTTTAATATATTTTATTGTGTCTATATAAATGACGTATAACAAGAAAATATATTAAAATATGTCTCTGTGTGTGTGCGCATGTGTGTGTGTGTGTGGTGTGGTGTGTGGAGATAATGTGAGAAAGTTAAAACTGCTTCGACAACGCGTTTCGCCTGTTTATAGCAGGTGATTTCATATCGGAATGAGAGATATACCCATGAGTAAGTGTTGGAATTTTGAAGGAATCTATAACAAATACTTTATCAGTTGCAACAACTAGAAAATATCTTTCCATTCTAAAGCCGTTAACGTCTGCCGAATTTGAAATTTAGCCCAATTCGAGCAGACCCCTGTTTTTTACAATATCGCATTGCATCGACTATTGCCTTTGAGATGATCGGGGATATTGTGTACGAACCCGGTCTGAAGTTGACCGTAGAAAATTGTGATATCAGTTCACTTTCAATACATTTTCTTCTTTGCGATGAGGAATACCAACTAATACAGAAATATCTATACAGAGTTTAGTAAATTTCAAATTCAGCAGACGTTAACGGATCCAATAATATATATATATATATATATATATATATATATATATATATATATAAAATTTTTCTGTCCATGGCATTTGATATATATATTTATGATCGCATCCTTAAAAATACCAACAGTTACTCCCGGGTTTGTATCTAATTTCTACCTGAGGACGCTTGTTATAAAGAGGCGAAACGCATTGTTGGAATAACTTTTCCTATTTTGTTACATTGTCTTCACTTTTGTTCAGATGTTATTCTACATCATACTAACAGACACACACACATGCTCATATATATATATATATATATATATATATATATATATGATAGTCTAGGGTTGAGATTCGGATTTCGATCCCGGTTTGAAGTAATTGCACGTCTACCACACTGATGAGCTGTGAAACAGCGAAACAATCTGTTTGTGAACGCAAGCACACACACACACACAAACACACACACACACACACACACACACATATATATATATATATATAGAGAGAGAGAGAGAGAGAGAGAGAGAGAGAGAGAATGAGAAAGGTCAAACTAATATTCCATGGTTATAATTTATGACAGTGGAATCGTAATCGCAATCCATTTCATTAGACCTACAAATATTGAATTTGTAGGTCTGATGAATTGGTTCATGATTACAATTCCAATGTAATAAATTATAACCATGGAATATTAGTGATTGACCCTTTTATATTATATTCTTATTCTGTCCTGGACATTGAGTTCTACCTGGATTCTATCCTCTTGGGAATTTAAGTATATATATATATATATATATATATATATAGAGAGAGAGAGAGAGAGAGAGAGAGAGAGAGAGAGAGACTAATATTATCTATCTATCTACATATATATGCGTGTGTGTGTGCGTGTGTATACACACACACATATGTAGATAGATAGATAGATAGATAGATAGAGAGATAGATAGAGAGATAGATAGATACACAGAGAGAGAGAGATATATATAGAAAGATAGGATTAATGCAAGTATAAAATTTGTCACTTAACACCTTTACTCCAGAATTTCGTTGACGAATCTTTTTGTAATTGTTCGGTCCACTCGTCAGAAGCTATCAGCAAACGTCTGTCAATTTTCTCGTTTTTGTTAAAGAGAATAATTTATGTGCTTATTTGGTGTTAGGTTGTGTGAGTATGTGTGTGTGCGTACGTGTGTGTATGTGTGTGTGCGTACGTGTGTGCATGTGTGTGTGCGTACGTGTGAGTATGTATGTGTGCGTACGTGTGTGTATGGTTGTGTGTGTACGTGTGAGTCTGTGCTCACGTATAGGATGTCGTGGCTTATTTCTTCTTTTCACCATTTTCTTGTCTCCTTCTACTCTCACGTTATTCATCTTTCTTTTTTTTATCCTTCCGCTTTGAGCGTCAAAAGATGACGTCACAATGTCAGTTCCGGAAAATTTTGTTGATATTTTGTTCACAATCAAGTATTAACAACATCGTTCCTTAACTTTTGTTCAGTAGCTTATTTCCTTTGTTCCATTTAATCTTTATTTAAAAAAAAACTATTATGTAAATTTTTGTAACTTTGTATAATATTTATGCATTAGACCCTAATCTTTATTCGGTAAAAATTTCATTGCTAATCATGCATTACTTTTTAAGTAATACACATATTTATGTCTTTGTTGTTTCCGTTCCTTATATTATGGCCGCTATTGTATATATAAACAACACAGAACTATTTAAAATGAGAAATACACCTTTTTGACACATAAGAAACATTTTTAAATCTAATATTAGATATTTTAAGTGAATTCTGGATAATTTCTTCACAGACGAAGAAGAAACTTGTAGCAACATCGATGTTTTTCTATGCTAAGAATATCGTGGGCAGAACATGTGAGCAACAAGGAAGTCTTAAAGAAAAGATCAAGGAAACTTATACTTAGTCTCAGAAAGAGACAGTTGATAGTTATGGAATACCCAATGAGAAAAGGGGGCTTGTAGAATTTAACACTCACAGGTAATATTGAAAGTAAGAAAAATAGTGAGAAAACTAACGAATTCGTGTGAAGGGATGCAGAACAGGGGCAAAGGAAAATTGTAAAGGGTTAAGAATTACTTAGAGAAACAAAAGACATGACGTTGTGGAGAGCCATGATTTCTCTTGTACTGAAAAGATATGACACATAAAAGATGATTAAGAATTTCTTAAATTTGTAATAAATGTAGGAAAGGAAATACGTTTTTGTTGTGGAATGGTTTCACAGTGGAGGCTTGTATTTGTACTAAGTCGGTCCTAAAATAGGTTCGACGTACAAAACGTTAGCAACTTGATATAATAGGTAATGACGCAGAGAAATCTAGTGGTGGTCGCTGATACTTTAGTATCCGACTAACGGTCGCCCGACATCGACTGACTGACCAACTCACCGACGATATTTAGTCACCCCCACCCACGAGGGCATCATGTGGCACAAGGCCGGTTTTAACGTGGATCTCCGAGCCCGTGGGCTCGGCTGTAAAAAGTGCCCATTGAACCCGTAAAAACGGGTTCAGGGTCGGTTCACCTCCCCGAAAGAGAATCCGCCCTTCGGCGTAGCCTCTTTCGGGTTCCTCCCCGCCCGAAGGCAGAGAGTTCAACCGATCAGCCAGTCGACTGACTGACCGTCTCCTACGTTACTCTTATTACTCCTACTTATTATTGGTGGGAGAGTCTATTAACTATAGAATAGGTGTGTTCCACTATAACAGTTTTGACCAGGGCTAAATACTTAAAAGAGATGAATTTCGAATTAATATTCGGTTTACCGTACCAACATTATCTTCTTAAAGTTCCTTCCGAAATAATGAAGTTGTTATATCCCTGGGTGTATTATTTAATATCACTCATGGTACGTAATATCACATTATTAATTTCGTCAATACTCCAACCAAAATATCCTTTTATTCACAGCCTTTTTGACCTGCTCGAAATGTCTTTTTCTTCAGATTTAATCTTATTCATATATATATATATTTTTTTGTCCAGAACTGAAATAATGGAGATCAAATTTTGCAATCTCCATGTCAAGGCTAATAACTCATTTTTGTTCTCTCCTTTTAGCATCGCAAAGCCACGTTGAAAAAAAAACGAACTTCAATACACAGCTAAACAACATTAGGACGAATGACGTCAACCTTTATTGACGAATAAGTTTTTCTTTTTAATTTCATTGGTTGGAACAATTTTTCTTCTTTCCAGGTTGATAATAAAAAATATCGTTGTTATCATTTTGTTAATTTTATGTTTACTTCACATTAATAAATTTTATTCTTTGCATCCATTTTTAAAACTTCGTCTTTTCGTGCTCGGGGAATTGTAACTGAGCAATAATCAGTTTTCAATATAACTTACAAATTATAACTTTATTCAATATACAAGAAACATAATTGTTTGTTAATAAACTTTCGATATTTTTTTTTCATTTTATTTGCTTTTCGCGTCTTTTAAACAAATTTAAAACATTTCCCTTATTTCAAACATTTCTCTACCTCCGTTTAAAAATTTCATTTTTATCACATTTTTGAAAAATTTCTTTCCACTCTAACATGTTTCACTCGCCAACTTTCTTTTATTTTTATAATTTGTATACTAGCTGAGCTAATTGATTACGCTGGAATCCACAAATATATCACACTTCTTCCTTTATATGAGTGCATGGCTCCCCACAACTTTCTATCCTTTGTAGCTCTTAGCAATGTTTGTGTTGTTTTTACCTCCAGTCCTTGTCTGGTCATACATTTACACAAGCTCGTCAGCTAGCTTAATCGCTGTTTCCTTCTGTCTCCACTTAACTTCAATATGTCTTGTGAGTGTCAAATTCTCCAGGTTTTCTTTCCTTGTTACGTGTCCTAGAAAATTTAACTGCCTCTTTCTGATTCTAAGTACAAGTGTCCTTTTGGCTGCCATTTTATTTAAAACTTTCTCGTTGCTCTGAGTTCCCGTTCATGGTGTCCTCAGTATCCTTCTGTAGGACCATATCACTGTTGCTGTGCCTCAAGTCGCCTTTTCATCTGTCACGAAACTGTTTAGCATTCACTGAATTGATATTGCATAGCAGTTCAGCAAGCTTTTCTTTGTTTCTAACGAAATTTTCCTGTTCCGTAATACTTTTTAAAAAATTTTTCTCTATTCCAATTTGCGTTCGCGTTTCGATGGCATATTTTTCTTCGTTTTTTTAATTACTTAAATTTTATATTCAAATTTAAATTTATTTAATTTAAGATTCTTACGTCTCTAATTTGTAGCTCACATCTTGAGGTGTTACTCTTGCTAACAACCTTATGTTATGTCTCCTTATATTATGTCTCCTTATATTATGTCTCCTTATGTTATGTCTCCTTATATTATGTCTCCTTATAGTTAATAGCTGTTTCTTCTCGCTTTCCTTTATGAAAATTGATTCAATAACATGCTAAATTTGAACAAAGTTCATATATACAAAGTGTACTGAAATATTTTTTATACAGGCGACCCTTCGCATTTAGGGGCTTTGCATCAATGGATTCAATAAACCAAAAATAAACCAAAAATACAATAAAAAATATCCTAAAAAGCATATCTTAAATTTACTACACGAAGTGTAAACATACGTAAACTACGCCCATTTTTTTAAAATATTTTTTTATATTTATTCTTTTTTTTTTTACCCACCGACCAATGTTGCGTCTCCATTGTCGTTTATGTCGGTGCTCACCATAAACTCGAAGAGACCCGCTTCATGTTCACAAGAAAACGAAAGATGAAATCTTAGACCACATCGAGAAATGATAAAACGAACGCTGTTTGCAATAGCTGTTTTTATTTAGGGTTAAATTGCTCAGTTTAGATAGGTAGATAAGTGACACTTGGGACAACTTCCGTTGCGTCGGTTTTATACATCAGTTCTTCTCCTTACCAACTAACCCACCCATCTGCGCATCCCGACGCGCGGCTGGCAACACGAACGCGCGGTATCGAATCTTCGCAAAAGATCGACAAGGGCGGATCAGAGCTGACTTTCCCCGATCAGAAGCATGATTGCTAAAACCGTTTTGTTGTCGCTTAACATCAATTTATTTTCCTTTAAAGGAACAAGTAGTCCTCTTCGGACAAGTGGGTGATACCCAGAAAACCCTTTCCGCTGGTTACGAAACAAAAAAAAAGTAAACTAGAGATCGAAATTAGATCAAATTTTCCTTTTCTACGTCGGTGTCTCAGCCATAGTGTCACGCACGCGAGACGCTAAATCCAATTGAATGTAGATCTGATTAACTGGAAATTAAGTAAATTTTGCCGATACTCTTTTTTCTATTCTTTTTTTTTTATTAATTCGAAATTTGGTATGGAGTCTTCTTTAGAATAATATCAGTAGTAAAAAACTATCGAAAATATTACTTTCATTATCGACTTTGACATGTGGCAGCATGAAATCGATTTAATCTTCCCATTTCTCTATAGACGAATTGACTTTGTGTGGTGCATGGATAGCGGTTCGGGTTGAGGAATCGGAGAGCCGAGTTCGAATTCCGGTCGGATCCATTACATTCATTTTCGTGCTAATAGTCTTGGGAAAGGTATGAACCCATCTGTTCCCCACGGGTATGGTTAAGTAAAAGGACAGACTAGGACTGTATATTTTATTGGCAACCTGTCTAGGAGAAGAAAAAATTCAAAGCACCTGCTGCTTGAGACCGTAAATAAGCTTGAGTCCCAAAGTAAAAATGGTAAATTCTTTGAAAAATAGCTTCACTGCGATATATGAAAAATCTTTCTTTTCGTCTGATTTCTTCAAAAATAATAACAGAAAGAAATTGAACTATTAGCAATATATCCATACTAGTGACGACACGTCATCGCTGGGCCTTCTAAACTGAAATTAATGATTAAAGAGGAGAGTTCTTTCGATGGAATCTAGGGGCAGGTATCCGTTACCAAAGCGAATTTTCAAGTTGGAGAATATCGAGTTGGCTTAAAGAGGGATGGGCTCCGCCAGGTCTACCTGTCCAACACATGCTACGCATAAATGAATATGAATACTTTCAACCCAGATCGTGGCATGCAACCAAAACATGTAAAAGGAGATCCATAGAGGCGCATCAGTTTGATTGATCGATTCGATTTTTTACGGCTTATCAACCTTTTGCAGAAAGACAGAAAATAATTTTTTTAGATTATAAGAATTTTTTTTGAGATAATAATGATTTAGTGATACAAGTCATATTAATTAACCCATAGATGGGGTACATTCATACCTAACCAGAATTTGAGAATCAAACAAGAAATTATAATGTAGTCATAAAGTGGGGGATCAGTTCTATGTTATAAACAATATATAAACTGATCCCTCACTTTATAGCCACATTAGTTTCTATACATTTATATTCCAGAGACTGTAAATAAATCTAAAAGACATGCCTGTGTAGCTAATCAGTATTTCATGGATTGATTCGTTTTTTACGGTTTATCAACCCTTTGTAGGTTATAACCAGAAAATATTTTTTATATTGTAAGAATTACAATAGCTGGGTGATAAGTGGATTCATACCTTTCCCAAGGATTTTTGCGCATCAGTGAATATAACAAATCCAACAGGAAATTAGAAGTTGGATCTCTGATTAACATTTCAGCACATCCAAGCATTTGGTAATCCTAAACGGTCACCCATCTAGGTACAGACCAGGCACGACGTTGCTTAACTTCGATGATCTTACGGGATATGGTATGTGACCGTAAGCCAAGGCTCATCTGCGCAACGACCCTACGACCAGATTCGGTTAAGTGGCTGATGATGATAATGATGATGATGATGAATGGAAAAAGATGTTTAAAAATTCGCTTAATGATAAAAAAAATATTCCATTCATTTTTTTTTCAAACTACAGGGTGTCATAGACCAAAATGCATATTTTCAAGAAATGAAATTTTCAGTAACATTTTATTGAATTGGAATCTTAACAAATAATATCTTCAATATGATTTCCATCATTTGTGATGCAAAGGTTGATGTGCTTTGCAAGATTCACGTGAATTTGATGCAATAACTCCACATTGGCGTTAATTTTAGCACATCCACTCTTTATGCGTTCAATCAAGTGTTTTGCATCTGTGATTTTCATTGGGTACACCTTCTCCTTTAGCGTACCCCAGAAAAAGAAGTCAATTCTTTCTTCTTCGGATAAAAATATATTTAATCTATGGAGGTAGAAAACACTTACACTCAATGAGATTTCCTATGTCACTTTAGGGAGACAACCTGTAGTATCTGTCTATATTTCTGAAATGAGGTATTATGAACACTATTAACATTGTTCGGACTATCATCCTCATCTTTGATGCGATATTTATCACAACGTTTCGGCCGATGTACGCTCTGGACTTCTTCGGGTGGTTGGAATGTCGAACTGAACCCTTTATTTCGCTTACTGGGGTAGACTATTGTAATTCCACGTGCCATGTCTAATGAATGTCAGTTATCAGTTATCGCCTGCTAATTACCCTCTCCAAGTTTTCCACCGCCTTAAACAGGTATTGAACTCACAACTCTTTTGGTCCTGTCACTGGATCTAACTAACGCCTTTATCCACTGTGCTGTAGTATATTTTTTTTGTTTTATTTTAACCATCATGGGTTTATTATTCGACCGCCAGTCGGCTGTACGATACATCAAATAATCCTTTCTTGTATCCAGCTATCGTTATCATGTCGCCATCACCTTAAAAATGCATATCAAATGTTTCTACAGAGAGAAAAGTAATTAAATGGATCATTTAAAATAATAATTTGTTAATTTTTTGTTTGAATCATTGAAATAATTTGTGAATTATCAATTGCATACATTTTTTTCAAAGTGAAAAGAGAATATTTGTCCAGTAGCCAAAACAGAATAACGCCATTTTAAGTATCCACCCAGATAGAGTTTCAAAAAGAAAAAAAGACTATAGTCAAATTGAAAGAAGCGCACATGAAGTGGTTAAATGAAAAGAATTTCTTTTTTTTTATTTTGTGTCAGCAGTTTTTACAACGCACCACCAACACACACACTGACTGCACATTTCACGGGGCAACAGAATATGGCAGAATATATTTATGAAAACACTTTCCTATTGTGCGTTGGAAGACTGAAACGGCTATACAAACAATTCCAATCTTGTCTTTCGTCAAACATTTGCAGAACCAGTCAAGTGTGTCCATACGTGCTCAACAACCAGCAAGTTTACATACAATAGCTTTGAATGGACACACACACACACACACACACATATATATATATATATATATATATATATATATATATATATATATATATATATATATATATATATATATATATATATATATATATATATATATATATATATATATATATATATATATATATATATATATATATTCGTTCGGTTTCGTTCGGTTTTATTAGGTAAATTTTCTAGTTAATAACTGAACGAACTTTTTCGGCCAAGCCAATAGGGACAGCAGAACTTTCCTCGACCGAGTAGTTCAATCCAAACCGAAGAATTTTTTCTTTTTTTTTGTACGAAGATTTCTCGACTGCAGACCGATAGATCGAATACAAACAGTTTAATAAATAAATCTAGGGCGTCTATTTCAAATGCGAATTAACCACTATAATAACGTTTGAAAAATTAAAAAAGTCGGATTAAAAATAAATCCATTCATTCTTCATATATATATATCTGTGTGTGTGTGTGTGTGTGAATATTGAAGTCAACACTCAGAGACGACAGACTGTTTCATGCTGGACGCAATCATCAGGCTACAATGATTGCGTTTAGCATGAAACAGTCTGTCGCCTCTGAGTGTGGACTTCAATGTTCATTTATTATTTACATTAAATTGAGTTAAAATAAGCTCTGTTCCATCTTCAAGCGAAATTTTTTTTGGAATAACAAGTTTCTGAAATTTACTTGTTTTAAAAATTGAAATCAAAATTTCCATGGTAACAGCTAGGGCGAATTGTTTAAGTTGGGTAGTTAACTCAATTTAATTTAAATAATTATATTGAAGTTTTCGGCTCTTGTTTTGAAACATGGGACTTCTTATGTCGAGAGTTGGAATCATATTTTTAAATAAATAATTATATATATATATATATATATATATATATATATATATATATATATATATATATATATATATTAAATAATTCATCGAGTCTAAAAGAAACCTTTACAGAATGCAGACGGTTTCGTCCTATATTTGAGATTACAGCAGCAGTGGGTATCCACTACCGAGAATTGAAGTTATGAAGTCAGGCAAGCGTCATACCAACTGTACCAACGGGCCTTGGTGACGAAGAGGTGACGCATTAGACTCGATATAGCGCTGCTTGATCACATATTCCGTGGTGGAATTCATCCGAGTTTCCCTTACCCATAGGACTGTGCCCCCACGAGCCATCTGGGTGTGTTTGCAAAAAATGCATTAAATGCAAAAAACAAATAGCTTAAAAAAATATACTTACATACACCCAATTACATACGTGTAAATATATACATAAAATGCTTCGCAACAAATATAAGCAAATATACAAACGCATACATACACGTGTTCAAAATATTTTTTAGATATTTGCGGAGTTTTTGAAAAATTTAATTTTATTTGGAAACGGTGAGAAACAAAATACGCACACATACATACACACACACACTCAGAGGGTGTCCCAAAATAATGTATACACTCTTCGAATCGTTATAACTTATTTATGTATTTTGACTTGTAAATAAGATTAATACAAAAGACACATTTAAAGAATTTGAGAGTAAAATATTCAAAAAACATAGAAAATTAACTTTAGTAAGATAAACGCTTCTTGGGCCAATGGCAGAATCTTCATATAATGGTGAATTCACATCAAGTGCTCAAACAGGTTGCCGTTCTGTTCAATACACTTTTCATATCTTGAAGAAATAGACCTCCAAACGTCCAGTATCATTTCCTCTGGTATTTGAGTAAATTCTTCTTCAATTGCTACTCTCATTTCAGCAATTGTTTCAGGTTTCCTGCTGTAAACTTCGTCTTTTAGAAACCCCCACAAAAAGAAATCCAAGGGTGTCAAATCTGGTGATCTAAGTGGGTATTAAATTGTCCCTCTTTTTCCAATCCATCTGTTTTGCATATTTTCATCCATATAAGTTCTCACGTCATAGTAATGTATTATTAACTATTAATATTTAAAGAGTGTATACATTATTTTGGGACACCTATATATATATATATATATATATATATATATATATATATATATATAGAGAGAGAGAGAGAGAGAGAGATTGGATACTGAGACCAAAACCAAACGGTGACAGTCATGAACTCGAACACAATATTCAGTTCAGAAGATTGCAAACATGAAACATGCTGTTATCATTTGGTGTTGACCTCAGTGTCCACTTTTATATTTACATATATCTCTGATATTAATCCCTTTTACTCATAAAACTAAATAAAACTTTTACTTATTCCTTAAAACTATATTTTTATCATATATATACAATGGTCTAAGAAAAGTTTTTAGGCAGGAGAAATAAACTACATCCAATTTCAAAATTTAATTACGTAATCCCTACTCAACATAAATAAACAGTATTTGGAATTAGTATAGAGAAGGTCCTCCATTTGCTAGTTTCATTGTTTGTATTTAATTTTTCATCGATTTGATCAAGTTATCAACAATCGTCTGATCCATATTTTGCCACTCCTTTAGCAATGTTTCTTTAAGGGTTGCCACTGTCGTGATTTTGGTTGCCCGCTCTTGAAGTTTTCAGTCAAGGTGCTTCCAAATGTGCTCTATTGGATTCATGTCGAGATTTTGGGCTTCCCATGGCAGTGAGTTGATTCCTTGCGATTCCTTCCAGGCCTTTGCTACTTTGCTCTTCTTGAAAAAGGTAGACATTCTTGTCAATTTGATCGGTTTTAAATACTGGCAGTAATACTTTCTCTAATATTTGACAGTATTTTGGACCATTCAACCGCTAGTCAACAAGAATCAGCTCAGATTTCCTTCCAAACCAGACAGGGCCCCATACCATTACTCCAATCCTTTTCTGTTCATTGTTCCAAGTCTCATTCTGATTTCTCCAAACATAAACCAATCTTGAATTAGAATATTGGCAGAATTTACTTTCATCTGACCAAATTACAGACTGCCAAAATTCATAATCTTTGCTCTGGAATTCTCTTGCCCAGTCCATACAAAGGTTTCTGTTAATCTCTGAAATCAATGGTTTCTTGCTTGCATCTCTTCTTTGATAGCCTAGTTCTTTCAGAGTCTTTCTCGTCGCCTTTATCCACTGTGCCATGTGTCCTTGAGGATATCTGGGCATGAATTTCTGGGTATTATAAACCTAATGTCTTCCGCAACAATTTTTAACAGTGCTCATATTGCAAATTTTGCTGTTATCATTACATATTTTTACCAGATCTCATATAGCAACTTTGTTATTACCATTGCTTTTCTCTGGCACTCCTTATTACTGGTTCCCATATTGTATTTATTTCTTTGCTTGGTCGGCTCAGGAGATTTTTGTGGCCTAGCATGTGTGCTGATTCCTTAGGCGTTGGTTAGATCCAGTGACAGGACCCAAAAAGTGTGAGTTCAATACCTGGTTAAGGCAGTGGAGAACTTTCAGAGGGAAATTAACAAGTGATAACTGATAACTGACATCCATCAAACATGGCACGTGGAACTAGAACAGTCTACACCAGTGAGCGAAATAAAAGGTTCAGTTCGACATTCCAACCACCTGAAGAAGGCAGGAGCGTACAATGGCCTAAACGTTGTGATAAATATGGCGACAAAGATGAGGACAATAGTCCGAATAATGTAAATAATATCCATGCAATTGTCTTAAGAAAATGTGCTTCTGAACTGGTTCCTGTTCACTTCAAATGTCTTCTGTAGTTGTTGCTTTAAGAATTCTGTTGAACCTTCTGATCTCTCTAATTATCGCCCTATTAGTCTTTTATCTCGTTTTGGTAATGTATTAGAGGCTCTGTTAAACTCTGAATTCTTTAAACATCTCTCTAAACGGTCTCCTTTCAGATAAATAAGATAGCTTTCGTTTCTCTAGTTAAATTGCCAATGTGTCAATGGTTATTACTGAATTTGTCAGTCAGGCTTTAGATAAGAACGCAGAGGCTCGGGCTGTGGCTTTAGATACCACTAAGACGTTTAACATGGTTTGGGCATGCTGGCCTTCTCCTTAAGCTCTAGGGCTAGTGTGTCTCTGGCTGGATACTTGACTTAATTGAATCAATCATAACAAATTGTGTAATGAATGCCAGGTTGAACGGTGTTGCTTCTAGATTATTTCAAATTAATGTAGAGGTTCACCGAAGCTCTAAATTTGGACCTACATTGTTTTTTATCTTCATCAACGACCTTTCTGATGTCATCAGTTCCCAACTAGATATCTATTCTGATGGCACAACTATCAGGTCATCCCATAAGTTCTGTCCGAATTTTGTATTAGGTCATCCCATAAGTTCTGTCCGAATTTTAACTTTTTGTTAAAATGAACGAAATTTAAAGAGTATTTTATAATGTCTAATGGAGCTGAACATTATTTTTATGTTTAGATGCATTTAAACTGATCAAATTTTATTTCAGAGAACAATAAAATTAAATTTTGTTTGATTAAAACCCTGCTAACATAGAAGTACCCAAGAATCATTTGAGGCACATAATGCTTTATGAGTTCAAGAAAGGAAACTCAGCAGCCGAAGCGGCTAGATACATTCACTCAGTTTATGGAGAGGAATGTGTGAATGAAAGAACTTGCAGAAGATGGTTTGCAAAACTCAGAAGTGGAGATTTCACCCTTGAAGATGAAGATCGAACTGGACGTCCAGTTGGGTTTGATGAAAAGCTTCTTGAAGCAGCCCTTGAAGAAAAATCCTGCTTTTATCAGTTGAGGAATTGGCAGTGGTTTTCAGTTCAAACCATACAACTGTTCATCGTCATCTTCAACAACTTGGAAAAGTTCCTAAACTTGGAAAATGGATGCCTCATGAATTGTCTGAAAACAACCTCAAATCCCGAGTTGACATCTGCTCTTCTCTCCATTCTCGCCAACTTGTTTCACCTTTTTTGATAGATTTGTGACTGGCGACGAAAATGGATCTTTATCGAAATGTTAAGCGTCGTAGACAGTGGCTTGGTAAAGGGAAGGACCTCAGCCACAGCCGAGAAGGGAACTTCATGGGCAAAAGGTTCTTCTTTCAATCTGGTGAGATCGCCATGGAATAATCCACTTTGAATTCTTACCACCTAATGCAAGAATTAATGCTCAAATATACTGTCAGCAATTAGAGCGTTTGAACCAAGCTTTGAGGAAAAAAGACCTGCTCTGGTGAATCGAAAAGGGGAGATGTTTCATCAAGACAATGCGCGACCCCACACAGCAAGAATCACGTCACAAAAGATCGAAGAACTTGGTTGGGAGAAAATTCCTCATCCACCTTATTCTCCCGATCTTGCTCCTTCAGACTACCATTTGTTTTGTAGCTTACAGAATCATTTGGAAGAAACAGCTTTTTGTAACACAGGAAGAGGTTAAAATTGACATTTGTGAGTTCTTCGAATCAAAGCCAAAAGAATTTTACAGTAATGGAATTAGTAAGCTTGTTAATAGATGGAAGGAAGTCATAGATAATCAGGGAAAATATATTGTTGATTGAATCTGTTATTAAATGTAACATTTGGTCACTTGTTCTCTTTATTCAAAATTCGGACAGAACTTATGGGATGACCTGATATTTACACTTGTCTTAATGCCAAGTCCGATAGATCCAACAAACTAAACCTGGCAGCTCTTCTCGAAACTGACTTACAATCAGTTGCTAACTGGGCCAAAAATAGCTTGTAAAATTTAACGCCTCTAAAACGAAACAGCTATCATTCAATCAATATAGTGACGTGGCTTCCCTCTGTATTTTCTATTATTATTTTAATGGTAGTTTTTTTTTTAATGATCTCTCCTTCGACTTGTAGCTAACTCGCAGTCAGGTAGTTCGCTGTTAGGCTCGCGGTAGGCTTGCCGAATTCTCTGCCTTCTGAGAAGAAACCAGACGAGGCTGTGCTTACTGGCAGAGTCTCGTCTAGGGAGATAGACAAACCCGACCCCGTATATGCGGGATCTAAGGGGAATTTTGCCCGAGCCTACGGGCTTGGAATCGCCCTACATAAAAACCGGCCTTGTGCCACATCCTGCCTTATGGGGAGGGTTGGTAAATACCATCTCTCCTTCGACTGCATGAATTTAAGCGTACTATTAGATTAGCAGATAGATCTCATTGTTTTACTGTTGAAATTGCGAGATGGAACCAGAAGTTCTATTCTAATAGTTTTTTCTCGCACTTCTCGCCTGTGGAACACTCTTCCGATTTCTTGTTCCCTGTCAGATACAATCTTCTAGAAATGGGGATTTTCTAAGCCTAGCTTAGTTGTGGCACAAGGCCGAAAGTATGGTGCACAATCTTCCAAAAAATAAATTAAATCGACATCTTCTAGTTTCCTGAAAATTGTTCTTTTATTGTCCTTACTAACGTCTCCTCTTTCTCTTCGATATATATATATATATATATATATATATATATATATTCGCCAACAGAACTTATGACATTAACTTATAATCAATTCCTTGAATAATAAGATCCTTATATTCGAGTTGTTCTCAGATGGAAGACACATGCCAAGTACTTTCGAAAATTGTGGATGGAAAAATTGCGTTCTGATAATGACAATTTGAAATTGTCGAAAGTATTTGGCATGTGTTTCCATTTGGTTTATTTTTCATGTCAAATAAACTGACTCTTGGACATGCCATCTAACGATCGTAGGAAACATGCCAGCGACAAATGTATTATAATATTATGGTGTTCCGATTTGTTTGGAAGTAGGCATATATATATATATATATATATATATATATATATATATATATATATATATATATATGTATGAGTGCGTGGTCAAGTAGTTAAACCGACCCAGGTTCAAATATCATTATGGTCGACTTGTCAGGTGACTTCTTGGTAATATCTTCCTGGGGAGGCGATTCCACCTTGCGGTACCATTGGAAAGTGCCAGAAAACCATACTACGGGTTGAGCCAAGGCTTGCCAGTGAAATTGGAAAGACGCAATTGTTCGTCAATGGTTTTGCTAGCACGAAGTCACAAGTCATCGTGACGGAGGGTTTCAACGTACTGGCTTTATTCAAACACTTGAGCACGCCAAATGATAAGCCCTAGCCCAGAAGCTCAGCACAGTTGTAGTATAAACCGCAGTTAGGCTCTGCTAAAGGAACACAAATGGGCTGAGTAGGTATCTTCAACAGCAGTTAGCTAACCATCCTAGTAGACAGGCATACTCTGATACGATATATATATATATATATATATATATATATATATATATATATATTAAAATTTGTCGCTTAGCTCATTGATTATTTTTTCTATATGCAGATATATAGTTAGGATATATATATATATATATATATATATATATATATATATATATATATATCAGGGGTGGCCTGACAATTGCATATAGTATGAAACAGACTGTCGCCTCTAAGTGTTGACTTCTATGTTCACTTTTATATTTACCCACGCTCTATCTCTAATATTGAGCACTTTATCCATAAATATAGCACACCTTAAGACTATATTTCTTTATATATATATATATATATATATATATATATATATATATATATATATATATATATATATATATATATATATATATATATATATATATGATAAAATATATATATAATTTTTAACGAGATTTTTTTTCATATTGATTAATTAATTAAACAACAGTTCAGCTACTTATTTTTTTAAATTTTCATTATTATTTCTTCAGACATTTTAGAACCTGTTAAGGAATTTAAGATAAAAAAAATTTTAAAGTCTGGTATAAAAATAAAAATAAATGTAAGTAAATATTCGAGTGAGGACAAAACTCCCAACAGTACGTATATCGTTCGTCCACACTAAAAATACAAATCTGAGAGGAGGATATAATCTTTGTTTTTTTGTTTCTATCTATCTATCTATCTATCTATCTATCTATCCGAGTCTTTAATTCAATGAATCTATCTATCTATCTATCTATCCGAGTCTTTAATTCAATGAATCTATCTATTCATGTATTTATTCTGCTCATATCTATCTATCTATCTATCTATCTATCTATCTATCTATCTATCATCACATTCTGTTCATCTCCGTCTATTCAAATGTATTTCATTCTGCTCATATCTATCTATCTATCTATCTATCTATCTATCTATCTATCTATCTATCTATCTATCTTGAGTCTTTTAATTCAATGAATCTATCTTCATCCATCTATCTATCTATCTATCTATTCATATCTATCTATCTATCACATTCTGTTCATCTCCGTCTATTCAAATGTATTTCATTCTGCTCATATCTATCTATCTATCTATCTATCTATCTATCTATCTATCTATCTATCCGAGTCTTTTAATTCAATGAATCTATCTATCTATCTATCTATCTATCTATCTATCTATCTATCTTCATCTATCTATCACATTCTGTTCATCTCCGTCTATTCAAATGTATTTCATTCTGCTCATATTCATCATATCTATCTATCCATCTATCTATCTATCTATCTATCTATCTATCTATCTATCACATTCTGTTCATCCTCGTCTATTCAAATGTATTTCATTCTGCTCACATATCTATCTATCTGTCTATCTATCTATCTATCTATCTATCTATCTATCTATCACATTCTGTTCATCTCCGTCTATTCAAATGTATTTCATTCCCCATATCATGCTCCATCTATCTATCTATCTATCCATCTATCCATCTATCTATCTATCACATTCTGTTCATCTCCGTCTATTCAAATGTATTTCATTCTGCTCATATTCATCTATCTATCTATCTATCTATCTATCTATCTATCTATCTATCTATCTATCCATCACATTCTGTTCATCTCCCGTCTATTCAAATGTATTTCATTCTGCTCATATTCATTCATCTATCTATCTATCTATCTATCTATCTATCTATCTATCTATCTATCTATCACATTCTGTTCATCTCCGTCTATTCAAATGTATTTCATTCTGCTCATATCTATCTATCTATCTATCTATCTATCTATCTATCTATCTATCTATCTATCACATTCTGTTCATCTCCGTCTATTCAAATGTATTTCATTCTGCTCATATCTATCTATCTATCTATCTATCTATCTATCTATCTATCTATCTATCTATCTATCTATCTATCACATTCTGTTCATCTCCGTCTATTCAAATGTATTTCATTCTGCTCATATCTATCTATCTATCTCGTTCTGTTCATATTTATCCATATCTTTCTCTTCATATCTCTCATTCTTTTCATATCTATCTTAGTTTATTCGGATATAAATAGACTGAAATAGATATAAATGAGACATGGCATAGATAGATAGATAGATAGATAGATAGATAGATAGATAGATAGATAGATAGATGTGATTGAGTTACATACATATATACATGCATTTATTCTTAGTGTTGACAGAGAAAGATTATCCTTTCGCCAGCAGCGAAAGGATGGCAAATATTTTCTCCTCTAAATAAAGATACTTTTAAAAAGTTATCAGTCAGTCGGTTTCTCTCCTGTCTGCCGGCCAATGGCACTTTCTAAAGAGCGGAGCAGCAAAATTAGTTCTTCACAAGCCACCGATGAGAATAGTACGTTCTTTATTTGTGGCACGTAGATGCGAGTCTGAAGAAACCGAACTTGTTTTGAAAGTGGAAACGTTTTCTTTTTGTTTATGGTGTCAAGTGTGGGTCATAGTCGCCAACTCAGAGATTCTATTGTATCGAAATAATGTGAGGGAATGAAAGTGTGGGTGGGAGAGAAAAGTGCACACTGCGACGGGAGAGCACTTTTCCTATCTCTGGCTTGGTCTTTTACAGCTTAACTACTCAAATCGTTTATAGTAGCAGCAGTAATGACTTGGCTTCTCTGACGGTGAAGCGTTTGACTGTAGTTACAATGAAGCTATATAATTAAATGCCAGTCGATTTTATGACCGAGAAATCCTCGAACCACACACTCAACAAATGAAACTCTCATCACAATCAGGGATATTTTCTACAAATATAATAATACTTTTTACAACCTTTCCAAAACTCTTTCACTACCCTCTTCTGAAAAAAAAAAAAAAAAAAAAAACGCCAGAGGGTTTTTTCGCTACAAACAACATTCTTGGATATATCTCCTTGGTTACCACCTTTATCGAGTCGGTGAGGTTCGTTATTATAGTCGTTAACGAGTTGTTACTTTAAATTCGTTTACAAAAAAAAAAAAAAAGTAAAATTCGAAAAAATACTTTCTCTAAGCGGTCATTGGTATCTTTGTGAAATCAGTTTTATAGCCATGCCCCATTGAGAATTTCAAAACTGAAAGTTTGTTTTGAAAATAAATGTCAAAGTCAAAGAACTTAAATAATGTAGAAAGTGTAAATCACTCTGGTCTTGTCGAGGACTGGGTACGTAGTTTGTTTTATAAACAAACCAAAAGTTTCACATATTACAACATAAATAATTAAAAATTGGGGAACGGACGGAGATTACAGTTTTTAGTGAAGAATATATATTTTATATATATATATATATATAACTATTATGAAATTTAGAAATTGAAATCGAAACTCTGAATTTGGCATTCAAATTGTTTGATTTATATAATAAAATGCTTATTTTGGTTTACCAATTTAAAGAAACGAATTTCCAAATTTAAAAAAAAAAGAATTTCCAAATTTAAAGAGAAAAAAATTGTGAATGAACTAAGAAACTAAAAAAAAAAAAAAAAAGAACAAACCTGTCCGACTGTGTTTCAGCTCCAGAAAATATGGAACACAAAAAATAAACAAAAAAAAAAAAAAAAGAAAACGACCCAAAAACAAACAAAAAACGTACAACGAAATAAAAAGTTCGTCAAACAATTTTGTACTAAGAAACTTACGTACAAACAAATATACTGCTTAAAATGTTTGGAATTTTTACTTTTTCGGGATGTAAATATTCTAAGTAGAAATATTCTAAGTAGAAATATTCTAAGTACTTGGGAAATCTGAAAATTACGGACGTTCGACCGGATAAAAGGTCCAAATCTCAACTTCAATGAATTCCCAAAGCCAGCCGTGTTTCCCGGAATTTAAAACACTCAAAATAGAAATCAAAACTTGGCAAGCACAAAAACGAAAAGATTTAAAAAAATAATAATAACTAAAAAAAAAAAAAAAAAAAAAAAGAAATTAGTAGCAACTCCTCCGCAAATTGGTCAGCCGGTATGGTCACGTGACCACTCAACCTGGGCAGGTTGGTGTTTTAACTAAACCATCCTGCAGAAAATTAAGAAAGTATTTTGTTAACGCTTAAAATAGCAAACTTAAAAGTAAATCTTTACTTTTAATGTTTAATTTTTGTTTTTATGAAATTCTTTTTCTCGAAAAATTAAATATGGTGGAAGGTTTGTATCATTTACCACAGGACTTTGTCAAATTGTTTGGGATCATAGTAGTAGAGTGTCTGCTTTTTGTAATGCAGCGAGAGAAGAAAAGATAGAATGAGAGATAGAAGGGGAAAGAGAGAGAAAGAGAGAGGGAGAAAACTTTTGTTTCAAAATTTGACAAAATTAGGCAACTTTCACAGTCATTTTCCTGAAGTTAAAAATTAACGCCTACAGTTAATTTCAGGAATTTTACAAGGGAAAAAAAAGAAACAATTAATGAATAAACCTACGTTTGAAATTCGATAATAAAACACGATCAAATCTTTTATATATATATTAGAGAGAGAGAGAGAGAGAGAGAGAGAGAGATAGTGTGTGTGAGAGAGAGAGAGAGAGAGAGAGAGAGAGAGAGAGAGAAAATTTCTGATATCCCCTGAAGAGTGTACAGACAGGTCCGCTTTTGAAACTCTGGTGTCAGTATGCTGAAGGTAGCATCAATCAGCTAAGTCACAAACTTTTATTCATATATTAATTGTGTATATATATATATATATATATATATATATATATATATATATATATATATATATATATATATATATATATATATATATATATCTATATACTTTGGCAGAAACATCTTTTCAAACATCTTTCACTGAATACGGCCTACAGGGAGATCGAATTAATTTTTTATTCAGTTTCCCCCAAAACCTAACATTTTTCTCTTTTGTAGAAATTAAGGACTATAAAAATTTTCCATAATTTCTATTGTCCTAAACACTTTTAATCACTTCTATAGCCATTTTCAAGTGTTTTTTTCTCTGGTGTTATTTTTTCATCATGTTTTGACTGTTATATTGTAAATGTGTGTTCTTTTTTGGGAAGGGACCTTTCATTCCAAGGAAAATGTGAGATATCGAAATATTTTATCTGGAAACCATATAAGTGTGTATATTTTTCTAAATTCCTTCATGTTTAATTGGACAATGTTTTCTATATAGAGTTGACGTATTTATAAAGAACAAAAAAAAATTTAAGAAACATTGGATATTAATAATATTTTCTTTCTTTGCAATAACTTCTCCGAAGTTGTAGATTCTACATTGTTTCTTGAAGAAAGAATTATTTGAAGAAAGAAACTGAAGTTTTGCAATTTTTAATTGACGCTCATTAAATTCCCGAATATCCTACCTCTTTGCTTTGACATTTTTATCCAATTTCTCGAATTTTGCTTTCGTTTTTTTCCAGGCGGAAATTAGATGCGTTTCCTTTTTTTTAGGTTTTTGCTTTACTCTTCTGTTTTTTATAAAAAGTTGTGAGCGCTATAAAACTGCTGCTATTGCAGCCACAAAATTATCACCGGTGTGTTTGCGTTCATATTTTATAAGCGGAAATAATATACATATATTTATAGAGCAAAAATGAATGAAAACACATAAAAAAGAAAACATTTCTGTGATGAATGAAAAGCAGTCGTTCTTATCAGATTTCGACTGATTATTCTGTATGGGATAATAGCTTGCCAGAGGGTGGAGGTTGGTGCAAAAAACAAATACTTGTGATGTAAGCAGAAACACTATCGCCGATTCGTTTGTAAAAGGATTCGTTTTTTATGTGTCGTATCCATTCAGGATGTAGGCGATCATAAACCTCCACATCTTCCTGTCCTTTGTAGCTCCTAATAAGTTTTATCTTTTTGTTATTTCTGCCAAACCCTGGTCTACCATCCATTTGTTGAAACTCATCCTCTGTCCCTCTTTCTTTCTCTCTGTCCTGTGTGTATCAGGTTTTCCAAACCCTCTTTCCTCATTACATGCCCCAGAAATTTCAATTGCCCCTTCTTGATGTTAAGTATAAGTTTCCTTTTTGTTTCCATTTTCTCTAAAACCTCGTCGTTGCTCACATGTTCAGTCCGTGATATCCTCGGCAACTTTCTATAGAACCACATTTCTGTTGTTTTAAGTCTCTTCTTCATCTTTGAGGAGATTGTCACTGCCATATAGGAGGACAGATATCACGTAACAGGGATAAGAAGGTAAAAAAAGAAAAAACGCTGACAATAATTCATAAGATAGACTGACCGTCGCAGATGCGGTAACGGCAGGCACTGCAACCAGATTGTTTGACTTGATTTATAAAACTCTTGAGTCAGTGTTCATCGTTTTTATATCCGCAAGTGCTTTTCTACCTGTGGGAGGAGCTATAGTGAAGTGTGTGTGTCTGTGTGTGTGTGTGTATTGTCGACTCACAAGAACCGGTATTTTACAAACAGACACGTGGTCGTACCCAGGATTGAAAGGATAAGAGAGCAGAAACAGAAATTCTAAAAAAATGAAAAGAAAAAATGAAAGCTTGACTATTTCTTAAGAAAAGTAAGGGACTTCGGAAAACGAAGGACAATTCGCCTATGTAAAGCCGAGTGCAGGTTTGGAAGGGTCGAAAATAGAGAAAAAAAAACCCCAGAAAGCCGAAAGATTCGGTGTGTGACTCGACAAGTGAACGACTACTATTAATGCACAATGAAAATGTACATTGTTCCGAGCTTGAAGATGGGAGGGGCTTCCAAGTCTTTTGACAGTGAGAGGGACGGAATACGTTTCTGACACCTAGCCTCACCGACTATTAATATTAAGTCATTCTATGTATAATTATTATTGTATTTATTTAAAACAAGTTCCGCCCTTTTTTTTTATGAACCTTCAACTCCCAACTTTACACGTGTGCTTACTGACTAGGTTGCAATCCTATATATCGCCATGTATGCGTTTTTCGATTAGCGTATTCAGCGTAACATAACAAACATGCCGATGTATATATTTGCGTCAAAAATAAAATAAATAACAAGTATATGGTTAATTTGTTTGAGAGAGAGAGAGGGAGAGAAAGAGAAATAAAAAGAGAAATA